ATTGTCAACACTATTACGACGAGAAAAAAGTACGCTAAAATTCCATTAGCTTTAATACCGAAATTCTTTTGAGTTGATACCAAGCAATGTCCTTTTAAAACTCGCCATCTTTCTATTAAACACCAACATGAAGATTACTATCAGAGCAGCGAAACGGCGATATTGCCAGCGGTTTTCATAAAGAAATTTTAATGTAATAAGCTTTCTTTGTGAGCAGGTATTTCAAAGGCTTTTAGTTTATTATCCTAGGTTATGAAACTACCGGCAGAGCAGAGCTTAAAGTGTTGCAATGAGTGGTCTAAGTTACAGACTAAGTTACTAATATCCTATTGCAAAAGTAACTTATATTAGAATCAATATTAATCCTAAAATTACCTCATTTTCTATCTATTCCAAAAAGACTATACAATTAGGGATTTTTTTTATAAAGGATCATACAAAATAATAATATACGTATAAAGTTTTTCAGTAGTAGAAACTCCAGTCTCCATTCTTAATAATATAGAAAGTGAAGATTAGCAACGCTACGTCTGACGGGTCACTTGTGCAAATGGGTGTACCTCAAGGATCTATTCTCGGTCCATTTTTATTCCTAGTTTACATTAATGATCTCCCATATGCCATGCAGGATAGATGCGGCATAGTATTGTTTGCAGACGATACTTCATTGATTTTTAAAGTTAATAGAATGACTAATAATTATGACGATGTAAATAGTGCTTTGCGGCGTCTCCTGCACTGGTTTACAACAACAATCTTATGTTAAACGCTAAAAAAACAAAATGTGTTAATTTCTCTCTATCTAAAAGTTTTAATACTAATTGCAATATTAAATTAAATGACGAATCTCTCGAATTTATAGAATCTATTGTCTTTCTAGGAATCACACTAGATAATAAAACACAATGGGGTGCACAAATTCAAAGCCTTGCAGCGAAACTAAGTTCAGCAGCTTTTGCCGTGCGTAAAGTTAGACAGTACACTGATACTGATACTGCTAGATTAGTCTATTTTAGTTATTTTCATAGTTTACTCTCTTATGGAATATTACTATGGGGAAAAGCGGCAGATATTAAGAATATATTCATATTACAAAAACGTGCCGTTCGAGCGATCTACTGTATGAAGAGTCGTGACTCATTAAGAGAGAAATTCAAAGAGGCAAATATTCTCACCGTTGCTTCTCAATTTATATATTCAAATATTCTATATGTTCATAAAAATCTTGACTTATTTCCAAAAAACAGCAATATTCATAATATTAATACTAGATTTAAAGACAAACTTGCTGTCCCCAAGTATCGTTTAGAAAAAGTTAATAGGTCTTTTATGGGAATAGGTATAAAAATTTACAATAAGATACCAAAGGATATGTTGGAATTACCCTTAAATAAATTTAAAACATCTGTTAAATCATATTTACTGAGCAAAGCCTATTACTCACTAAACGATTACTTGAATGACGAGTGTGCATGGCAATAGTTGTTCATGCACTGAATTTTCATTTAATGTTAGACATAGACACCTATATAAATATACATTGTAAATAAACTGGCTTTAAAAAAAAAGTAATTCAATTGAGTTTCTTGCCAGTTCTTCTCAATTGGATCTATATACCGAACTGGACGGTAGGGTAAATATAAAATTATAATGTAAAAATTTGACGTTCATAAGCGGCTAAAATGTCCTACATGAATAAATGATTTTTGAATTTTGAATTTTTGAATTTTGAATCATATCACGTTAAATTCCAAACAATTTTCCCATGGAAACCCTCGTGGTTATTCTCGATGAATTTGTCACTATGAGCCAACTGATCTGCTTTCTTCCTTGCTTATGATCCTTCACTAGTACCAGCTGATTTCCTCCAACGTACATCATTCCCTCGTCATCCATAAAAAATGCTCGTTTGAAGCTTCCAATACGCTGCCTTTGTGTAACGAAAGACTTCGTAAACGTTCTTTCCTCAGAAAGCCACAATTATTTTTAATTAATAAATAAATCCCAACCTAAGCCTCTGAATTTAAAAATATTCATATTTGAGATTCAAATTTAAAATTCTAATTTCTCGAACAGTCAATAGTTTTCCGATTGAGTTGTTATCGCTCCGCCTTACAAGGTGACTTTTATCTATTTATTGGTTGTTAATATTTCTCTAAGACACATTAATCACAAACGCTATAAATTCTTAACTGTTTATTTATTTTATTTTATTTTTAAAAATATGACCGAGATAAGTATATGTACAAAGGCGAGCTTAACTCAATTAAAAGTGTTCTTTTTCAGCAAACCCAAACTATGTACCTATTCTTAGTTAAATTTCTTTTGTATTTTTTACAAAATAAACTGGGTATAGCCACTCGCAAAATCTTATAGCTCGCAGTGACGGAGGAAATCCGCGGATTTATATTTTTCTTATAAAATATGTAGTGTGAATGAAACTGTTTCCTATTATGTGTAGAAAAAGTTATAGCGACTTTATTGATTTTTAACTGTATATCAAATTTATTAATTATATTAGGTAAATTGCGTTACTTAAAAATGTCTAGTACCTATTTACGTAATTATGTTATAAATAGTAATGACTATGTTAGGTACTTAATATTTCGTACTCTAGTAATTTATTTTTTAATTAGTTACATTTAACATGCCTACAAACATTTAAAAGGCCGGCAACGCACAAGCAACTCCTCTCATTGGCGACGATAGGCTTTTTCCATAATGTGGACCGTCAATTCGTGTTTCCATAACAATAAAAAAGTACTAGTTAATTACGAAGTATTATTTATTACCTACCCCATAAGAGATTTGGTGTAAAAATATAAGATACATGGATCTCATTATATACATAAATATAAATAATACGAAGAGAAACACATGACCAGCAGTGGAATGACAATGGGTTGTAATAATAAAAATAAAATTATACAAATAATGCCATTTGATGGCGTTGTATGAAACTAAATCCCAAAATCACTAAGACAAAAGTAAAAGTTTCAATAATAATAAAAAGTAACTCAGATAATATTTCTAAAAATATAACAATTTTCATAATTATAGAAATTCAACGATATTCAACAAGAATTCTTTATAAATTATAGTAACAACAATATATAATGTCATTGTAAACGCGTTTTAAAGCTAAAGAAACTACTAAATTTCATTGATAAAACCAGCGATTAAAATTATCTAAAACTTATAATCCTGTTACTGATTTAAATATGCAAACTATAAATGTTTTGCGCCATCTATAGGTGCATAAGTGTACTTATAAGCGCAAGAGAACAAAGCGTACTTGTTTTGCGTTCCAAAGAATAAACCTCAAAAACTGTCTAACTAACGGACAGTTTCTGAGTACTTCGATAGATGGCAGTAAAAGTATATATTTCCAAATAATATAGAAACAATTTTTATACTTTTTAAATATATATAATTGGACATTGAAAATAATAATTACACAATGAAATGGAACCTATAGATATACCAAATATATAGATATCAATTTTTACTAATTAGATATTTTTTTTAATTCATTGTATTTAATTCGTTATGATCCACCGATAGATCAGCTTCCATTCTCATTCTCACTTGTGTTCCCTAGTGACCTATTGCTAGCAACACACCCTCCAGTCGACCTCCACACAGTCTTCCTAGTTGTGGTTTGCTAGTAAATTCGTCACAATAGGCCAATCGACCTGACTTCATCCTACGTCTTTCATCCCTCTCTGATACCATGTTTCCGTATATCAATAAGCACAGGTGATGTTACCATTTTATTGTCATCTATTAAAAAAAGGACCAGACTGTAACCTCATGTCTAACTTGCAGTGTAATTCAATAACATAGAAGAGGTAGTAATACTCAACATCTTCTATAATTCTAACTAAAGGTGTTGTGCGTGATCATGGGCAACTTACCATCAGGTGAGCCGCATGCTCGTTTGCCCCCTGTGTTGTAAAAAAAATATGTATATAGTAGTAACTATTTTATTATTTAATATATCATTACACTCTGTTTATTGTATTGGGGGAGAAAAGGATTATTAACAATAGGATCTAACTGCCCTATTATTAGCAAAATACCCTATCAAGTCGATATCCACGCGGTTTCATCGTGTTAAATTTTGAATGAATTCGTTACGATGGGCTAATTGACCTGGTTTCATCCTCACCTATCATCCCTCACTGATGTCCATACCCATAACTCAGGCAAAGTTGCCATTCCATTACCAGTTTAAAAAATAAAAACATTTATTGTCCACTGTTGAACGTACATAGGTCTCCCTCATATTACGCCAAACGTAGCGTGAAAAAGCACTTAGTGACGTAACATAATGCGGTCAACCGTTGAGAGTAAATCAATCTTTTTTCGGTTGATCGTATTCATGAACCATATTGTTACTGTGTTTGCTCACAATGTCAAAATCACATGTCGTGGTATAATAAAGAAAGTACAATTCGGCGTCGTTTGCATCCAGCAAGTCCTGTCCACTGTTAAGATCCTCACTCCACTTCGCTTGTTACTTTTTAAAAAAATCATTTGTTTTACCTTCCTTGTTGTTTAATCTACCTACAATCAATACAATGATTACTATAGCATCATTTTATGCATTCGATTGTAAACAAAACTGAACTGAAATGTCTGTTGAAATTGAAAACAATTGAATCCTTATCAACGGTCAGACAAAAGTTAGCATTGTTGTTAGCGGACCCATGAAAATTGTTGTAAATTTGTATTACCATTTAGCTTATTGCTAGTAAAGCAGAAAGTACTTATTACCTATTGGTTTTGTTATGACACCATTGAATTCACCAATGAAGGCTGAAATTACTAGGATGAAGTTATGTCAGTTGATACTTCTGCTCCTCCTATACTCGTATTGTTAGCAATAGGACATTCCCATTAGTGACATACTCTCCCCCCCCCCCCCTCCATACCTACCTTGTAGGTTGTGTAGTATTTCAGAAACATTGAGATGATTAAATCATAAATGATTTAACTATTCCTTATTTATTTATTTTAAAAGGTACATCAACAATGTAAATACAGACATTAATTTTAATTGATATGCAGGGCTTGCATCTTGCTTTTACACCAATTACAGATGTACACAACATTTTCTTAAGTCATCGATTACATTCTTTTTACGGTGAAAGCCCCTTTTTGTAGAAAACCATTGTTTTTATTAATTAAAGCAATTATTAAAGATAGTTTACATTTCTTTTTTATTTTTACCCTCATAAAAGGAACTGCATACTATAGTCTCTCAAATTACCCTTTCATCCTTAAATCATTATAATACAAACAATTATCGATGACCTTCATGGACCTATGATGGGCATTACGTAAATAAGGTCCCGGGTTAAATTCCCGTTCGGGTCAGTTTAGGAAATGAACTTTCTAAATTAACTCTGATCTGGGTGTTCCAAATTGCCTTCATTGTTTAAATTCCGTTCTTCCGTTAAATCTTCGTTGTCTGGTTTCTCAGATAATCTAGTTTGAGGATCAGTCGGTTACTGTAATAAAAAGAGCAGTCCAAAAAAATTTTGTACTGTCGAACATACGAGCACTCAAAGAATTTCTTGAAACGTTTCCTATCTGCACGAATCGTGAGAAAAGTATAAAATTCAACAAAACCATTGTGCCATTTAAGTAAGGTCAAAATAATGTGACAGATAATGATCACAACAAAAATTATCCACCACTCCAACTCCTCAATGACAAATTGCGAAACCTGAAACAGAGATAAAAATTGTATTACTATGAAGACAATCATTTTTCCACGTGGCTTTACGACATTACATTTGTTAACGCGAGCGCCATTTTCTACGCCGGTCGTATTCGTGGTTAAAGCATTTATAACAGCGGCAGATTATGTTTTTAAAGGCCTACAAATAACGTACTCGTATTTATCGTCACTAATTATATTACAACTTAGAATGGTAAACAAGCTGACGGCCCGCCTGATAGAAAGTGTTAACCATCACCTATAAATATGAACAACACTATGGATCTTACAAAATACAAAAAACGAAAAACAAAATTAGAAAGATTATTTACATTATTTACGTGGGAAAAATAAAAAATCCCATGCGGTAATTCTGATTTTATCCCTCCTGTTCTGCAAGAGAGTATTGATGCTGGAGTTTCTAGTCTAGAGTTTCAGGAGGTACGAGATACGTATAGGCATTTTTTTCGTCCATCAATTGCATTTTATGTCGCAAATAAAAAATGCAAAAAGAAATATTTTTAAAAAGAATATACCTGTCATCACTCGGGATGATTGTAAGCATAATAAAAATATTCCATGTATCCAAATTCGTTTTGTCATTTAGATGTCAAGATGGAATAAAAAAAAATTTTATACAGATGTAAACTTCGAAAATATTGCGTATATAATTTTTTTAGCAAACATAAATTTGGAATTCTAGGTAATTAGAACAAGACCTAAGCAATTTATGCTATACCATATTATAATTAAATAAAACGATTTGTAGACTTCCAGCTACATAAAGCAAATTGAATTAATAATAAATAACAATAGACAATAATATTATAACTATACATCTATACATTTAAACTAAATTGAAATCAAAATTTTAAAATAAAAACAAACTACCACTGTGTGTTGTATCTCAACAACGACGCACCTTGGCTTCTAAAAATAAAAAAAAAAAGTACCCATACCGAACATATAGTTCGAAATATTTCTAGAAACTTTAACGGAATCATTTGGTTTTGCGCAGTAGGAAAAATCTAATAGGTTTACTCTTTTAAACGTACAGCAAGTCTTTTTCAAGATCGTGCAATGACTCATGGTTAGTTATAGACAGTTTTATGTATACTGCCTCCAACGAATTAGATCAGTGATAGCTCAAAGGTGACCTTGGCCTGACCAGGGGCAATCAGGTCAATTCAGATTCATTACGAAACATTATTAGGAGATCGCGATGTTACCATATTTAATGAAATCTTCCTTGAGCGATTAGGCAAATCTCTAAATATGTTTAATTTTAATTCCCATTTAAATTAATTGCCTTCGAACTTTCGGTTTTTGCGCAATTGATCCTTTTTCTTTGCTGCTACCTACTTTTTTTATGTAACTTAAAATGACACACAAGCTACACCATCCACCTAATTGAAAGTGGTGGGGGAAGAGGTTTGTTAGTAATGGGGTCTAACAGCTCCATTACTAGCAATATACCTTATCAGGTCGATTTCCACGCGGTTCCTCCTGGAAATCATCGTGGATAATTCTTGTCGAATTCTTGACGATGGGTCGACTGACCTGCCTTCATCCTCACCAATCATCTATCACTGATACCTCGCTAGCGTCTACCGATAGTGTATACATATAGATAAAAAATTTAAAGTGGTAACTATCGCCTTTAGACATGAACAGTACCATGGACATATCAGGGTATACTGTGTCGCCCACGATACCCTTCATAAGTTACCTAATAAAGTGAAAATTGAAGTCTTTTTTATGATTATTCATCATCATCATCATCATCATATAAACCATTAACTGTCCACTGCTGAACATAGGCCTTACCCATAGACTGCCATAATGAACAGTCATGAACCACCTATATCCACTGACTCCCTGGAATGCATTTGAGGTCATCGTTCTATCCAATAGGGTGTCATCCTACACTGTATTTGACTGTACAGGGTTATCACCCAAAAACCTGTCTTCCCCTTTTTTATTATTATTTCGAAAATAATTCTATCTAAAGCTACAATTTCCTTTTACAAGTTCGCGTAAATTTGTAAAGGGGAATTCAATCTTTTAATGAATGGAAATTTAAGAAAAATCTTTACTCAGAATTGAATGTTTCGAGTACATTTTAATATTTTGGACGCAGACTTCTTTTTATAATTATTTTTTTTTTTTTTTATTATTCAATAATATATCAGTGCAATAAAGCACAATAAAACTTTGTATAAATGGCGAGCTTAATGCCATACGGCATTCTCTACCAGCTAACCATTAGTTCAATGATGTATCTAATCATGAATTCGTTTTATTATATTATTTTAATTATAGAGTGAATATCAATATACTTTTATGTATTTTATTTTTCCACTTTTGAGTGACAACCAAAAAAGATTCAGCCGACCCCAATCACAAATCTACTTTTTTCCCTCACCAAGAAATTATCACCGCGCCAAATATATTTGACCTTAGCGTGACTTTAACATCTAAGTACCTACACAACACGTATGACATTGCCAAAAAAACTCTAAGTAAAAACACACAAGCATTCTTTGTGTACGTCTAGCCAACGACCTTCGGAGTGATATACGGCTTTTTAGCCGTAAAAAATGCCGTCCAGTGAATTTACCTAACTTTTTGTCGGCAATTCTAAGAACGACCGACCTAAAACCTTAGGTAATACATTCCAGATTGGAATTATAGCTTCGATATAAAAGTTTAGATGCCATAATTTGGGTAGATAAAGATCCGTGGACTGATCTACGTGTTTCGCACAGTTTCTATGTTGAAAATGGAACTAATATATTTGTCTTTCTAAGAATCCATTATGAAAGCGTGATTTAAAGAGAAATTGTACACCAAGTGATGTAATCTTATTAATAGAGATTAAAGAGGTCTTAGAGAAGTAAAAGTCGAAGTACCTATAAACAGTACAAGGCCACGGGTTACCCTATTTGCATAAGTTTGTAAATATTTGTGTCTATGTTACATGAGTCCAATTTTAAGTCTGCAGTCCACTGTAAGAGGAGAAGTAAATAGCTTTCAACTGCTTATATGAACAAAGTAAACAAAAAAATATATTGTACTCACTATAAACTAGAAAAGAAGTCTCCAATGTCAAAGATAATAACAAAATATTTTTTTATACATATACTTTATTCGACCGCATCTTTATCTTACGGACATCATTATACTAGTTGGTAACATTATTTGCGTAAGTAAAAAATAAATAAATAAATAAAAATCAGAATATCTTTAAAATTTTTTTTTCTATCATGAAATATAAGATGACATATTTATTTTAGCGAATGAAAACTCACTTACTTCGCTCTCCCCGCGCTTCTGTTTCTCTTTCGTGGTGTAAAAAGAATATCAATGTACCACAAATATTATATTTAATTAAAAAACAAATATTTTTTTCTCTCACTGCACGATCTCTGTCAGAGATAAGCTTACCCCTGCTAACAAGTTGTTAAAATAATCGCTGTATCTTTTTTTTTGCAAGTCCAATAAAAAAAATTATAATAAATAAAAAAAAACTATTAAACAAATTGGAATCAAATAATAAAAATAATATATATAAATATATAAAAATATTGGAACTTTATGTGCAATACTATTTTTTTTTTATAGTTTCGATCTGGAACACGGGCATTACTTTAGAAGAGGCGTAAAAGCAATATTTGTTTGTTGGTATTAAAAAATAAGTAGGTAGTGTGATTTGATGAACTACCAGCACGTACACACAATCCTTGAGCTTACATTTTTTTTATTCGTTCTTTGAATTTAACGGTATCTAATAATAAATCATACATAATATTTGTACGGTCATTTTTATAGAGCTACCGATAAAAATTTTGTCAATGAATTGAAAAGTATAAGATATAGTACGAATTTTACGAGAAGACAACATATCTTTAATAGATGAAAATAGAATGGTAACCCTCTGTGGGCTATCGGTATACACTGACCAGTAAGAGATGATGAATGACAAAGCAGGTCAGGTCCATCGTGATGAGTTCATTTAGATTAATCATGATAGTTACCAGGAGGAACCGTGTGGAGGTCGACCTGCTAGGGTATATTGTTAGTAATGAACTGTTAGATATCATTACTAACAATCCCTTTCCCCTTGTCTACATTATCTTTATTCCTTGTCTGACTGTTGCTATACAAGAGTAAAGTAAATAATAATTTACTACTAGTTTTTAACCGTGACTTCGTCCGCGTGATCGGGATATGTTTACTGACCGGGGTAAAGGTAGCCTACATACTTTCTATCCTATATAGTACGTACACAGGCACAGGCTCAGGATAGGCGAGAGTGGAAACGGTTGGAGGAGGCCTTTGCCAAATGGCAAACAGATCTTCAAAAAATAAGTAAGAAACAATTATTAGAATAAGTTATTTTAAATTTTTTATTTTTTATTTTTTTTATTTTATGTTTGTTTTTAATGTACCAAGTTGATCTGAATAAACATATAATTCACTTTGAAATTTCTGTAAGCCCATGACTGTATATTTTTATGTGCAATAAATCTTTATTATTATTATTATTATAAAGGCTATATTATTATAGTACGTGCACACCAAATTTCATAGTGATTAGACGCTATAAGGTAACAAACATACTCACTTTCACATTTATAATATTAGTAATGATATGAAAAAACTTCAGAGGTTACGATTTCGAATCTAGCTAGGCCCAAACTTTGATTTTAATAACAGTCTAAATTGAATCACATAAATTTATTCTAGATCAAGTATCAATTTAAACTTTCGACAAAATCTTTGGTAATAACAATAATTTAACATTGTGTTCCTCATAAACTAAATATAATAAATTATTCTATATATATATTCTAATCTGTAAGAACATCCCTTCGGATAAAAAAAAAAACAATCTTCCAAATCGATTTATAACTGACGGTGTTATGAGATATCAAATATAAACCATATACAACCTAATTAGGAGCCTCCTTTTTTTAAAAGTCGGTTAAAAATCGTATAATTTT